TATTTGAAATACAATTCACTTGTGTGCCCATGCAAGGGAAACTCAAACAAAATTATGATGTGTAGTGAGCGAGTCGCTGACTGGGAAACGCGCTGCGTGAATAGTTTTCTCAATGAGTCGCTGTAAGCGTAAAATCATTTGAATATGTGCGCATATTCAACAGTTCGAAAGGCTTTTTCTTCTTTTTCTGCTTATTTTCTTCACTTTGTTTAATTTGTGAAACTCATGCAATTGAATGGAAAATGATTTTGTGGATTTTAAAATGCCAGGTACAACAGCAAAAAAAACTCCACATATTTTTTCTGTATTTTATGAAGCACACATAGTCTTCAGTTATTTTATTATTTTTTTGTTGCTGTTTGTAGTCATCACCACCGACGATCGGTCGTTCAATTGTCACCTTGTTTTATGTACGCGCGATACATTACAATTTCGACGCATTGATTTTAAGCAAACGAACAACAGCGAAGAAAAAAATCATGAAAATATTTCGTTGTTGAAACGATGAGATTGGTATAGGAGTAAAGGTACACATCAAGTCAAATTAAAATTCAATACCACAACGGCTGAGCTCACATGAAAAAAGGCAGCAGAAGCAACGATAGCGGTAGTGGTGGCGGCGGCGAAAGCGTACCAAACATAGCTTTAAAACCCAATTTATAGTATAATTGAACAAATATTATAGCGTATGTTTGGAATGGACGTCATTAGTATTTTTTGTTTGGTCTGATCTGGCGTACTGAAATTCGTAATTGACATATAGACAGAGTCCGCATTATTATTTACCCACATACGAAATTATTTGTCATTGGCTGTTATTCGTTATACGGACACACATTTCATGTTACTGCATTGGTATGATTTGGGCGAAAGGTGGCGAAGTGCCTTAACATGAAAATGTTCAAGCTGGTTTTTTGGATCGTTCACTCATCAGTAGCATCCATGCAGACTGCCCCAAAGATTCTTCACCGCGTAAAAATGAAAATATCGAATGTATAATTCATGTGTGATAAATCAAACGTCTATCGATGTGAATGATCGTCGTTTTGAGTACCACTTTTGCCGGCCGCAATCGATTAGTTTACGTTGTGCATGTATTATAGATCAATAGAAAGCACACGCATACACACCAAAGAAAATACTGTGCTTAATCTCTGCCCGATTTTGCTTTGCTGAACATACAAGCCAAACGACGTGGTCGATATTAAACGTTTATTGTACTACATTCATTCATTCCATTTCAGCTAAAGTAAACATAAACCGAAATTGAAAAATCCGAAAGTCAAACAACAATATTCGGGAATCGAAATGTCAAAGAGTCGCGCACTGACGTTACACGCAGAACACGCAGAACACGCATAGAAATTAAGAAATATGTGAAAGAGATACACAGAGAGAAGCAGAAAAAAAAATCAATGTTCAGTTTTTTTAGAATTGTGTTTTGTGTATGATCAATGTGCTTTCAGCTTCGGTTTTCCCCCAGACGATTTTTTCTTCTGTTGTATCGTCACCGTCGTCGTCGTCGTCGTCGTCGTCGTCGTCGTCGTTTTTTTCTTCTTTCATTTCATTCGCGCTGGAAAGAATCAACTTCAAGCAAATAGAATACGTAAACGACCGAGAATTTATCATTGAAATAATGTTGATTGTATGATTTAATTTGAGGTCTTCGTATTATTACTTTTCCATTCCGTTTTTGTATGGCGCTCCATTCGGTATCATTAAATTCATGTATGTACACATTAACTATGGCACATGTATAGATGGAAACACACACCGCTTAGACACTTACATTTTCATCATCATAACCATTGTCATAAAATTAACAAGCTCTCTGCTCGCATAGAAAACAAGCCAGCCCGACAGATATTCAGAGTCTGACACATGAGAATCAACAAAAGAAGAGAGGAAAAAGTAGGTAGACTAAATTATACTCGTAATAATTTCGATATATAAAATATCTATTCGCACACTCATTCGCTTCACCGAATCGAACGGAAAAAAGAAGAGCGCACACGCGAATGACAAACCTCGATCAGATCCACATAAATATCAAAAATACGGCAAACCGAACAACAGCAGCAACAACAAAAGCACTTGAGCATTTGATATGAGTGGCGGCGCACCATGCACGAAGATACACACACAGAAAATGTGCGAATGCGATTACGAACAGCAACGAGCGCTCGTTGCGCGGAAAGAGAGAAAAATGTGAAAATGGAGAAAAAAAGAAGCAGAAGAATCAAGCAAAAGCAAAAGCAGAAAAAAGAATAAAAACACGAAATAAATAAAACACATGAAATCCAACTGCGAAACTCCTCGTTGGTGGTGGACATGTGTATGTCCGCGACGGCAACATTTTCATCCGTATACAGTCTCTTCAAAGTCTGTAAATCGCGCGCGCTCGTGTCTTCGTTCGTTCGTTCGTTCTCTCGATTATATTGCCAAAGTGGTAGTAAAACGAACGAGCAATGTGTGCTTTTTTGTTCGTTGTATGTTCGTCGTCATCGCGCGCTGCTGTCATCTTACGTTGTTCAGTGAACGAGTCGTGCAAGTGAAATACCACATATTATGATCATTGGCGGATTTTCCATGTTTATTTTTATGTATATGATGTGTGTTGTGCGTCGTCATCGTCTGTTGTATATTTGAACGCTGTTACACGATATTCACAGATAGGTATACTGATTGAAAACGGTATACGGTGGTGTTAAATACGCGGAAAGCGGTACAACAACAACAACAACAACAACAACAACAACAACCGAATCTCTCTCTATATCATTTGTCATCTGTAGATTTGGTGTTGTAAATGGTCCAATTTGACCACTTCGCAGTACAGAAATACGGCAGAGCAGCAACAAATGAATAAATAAGTGAAAACTATTTCGAACAGCCCCTGATTTTGAAGGAGATTGTCCAATAAATAAAGCCAAATAATTTTAATGCTGTCGGTCGGTCACATTGTTCATGTGTTCGCTGCCTCTCTGTGTTCAGCTCTCAACATAACAACATTTACCGCACGCATACAGTCGCACGCATTCTCGTTCCGACCGATAAAATCACCAATATATGCGACGGCACACCAATTCACCCGAAAATGAGCGTTCTCGCTCCTCGGATGCTTGCCTGTGTATTGTGAAATATAAACGTTTTAACAAGCACTCTCTCTCACTCTCTCTCTGCGTATAGAACAGAAAGAAAAAACCAAATCTAAAATGGCGGATATGAACGCCATGGAATTTTTTTTTTCTTCTTCTTCGATTTGGACACGTTTGAAGTTGGAAAATTGCATTGATATGGCAAAGTTTTCCGACGCAATTCACATCGATCATCGCATCGATATGATTTAATCATCCAAAAAATTATGCAGATATAACACAAAATTCAGATTTTTTTTTCCAATTCAAGATAAAAAGAGTGATATTCTAGATGATTTGCAAAACCATACAGAATGACGACCGACTAATAAACCGAGTGCAGTCAGATCAAAAAAAGTATAACAACAAATTTCACACGTGTTCTTAAAAATTCCAGATTGATATTTGTTGATTACTTGTTTTTCGTCCTGTTATTCTTCTTCACTGAAACTGCTTAACCTAAACTCTCGATTGAGCCGCTTGATGCAGCAGCCAAATTGTCTTATATACACATTTTTATTATTTAACCAAACCGATCGAAAAGTCGAGTTTTATTACCAGAGAAAGATGCAAACATTTGCCAAGAATAGATAAAACATAACAATATTCTTACATTTCAAATTAAAACAAAAATTATGGAATAATGACACTTACCGTAATCAGCACAGTCTTCATTTAAAAATATCACTGAATTTCTGCCCCAACGCAAACTGGTTTTTCTCTTATTTTCTATGAATTCGGTTTTAACAACTTGATAACTTCCGATTGCTTACTTTAATTCTTTTTGTTTTTTTGTAAAAATACAATTAATGATTTCGCATTTGATTTTGGATTTGTTTTTGTTAATGTGCAACTTACTACTTGCAAAAGAAACTGTTTTAGTTGTTATTGTTGTTGTTGTGTTTTGTTATTGTAAGTTGGATGGTGTCTTTCTTGTTCAGCTTCCTAAATAGCAATGAGCATCAGCGTCGTGAAATGAAACCGTACGCGGTACGACGTTTGCAAAGTGTTTCACTCTCATAGGCATATGAGAAAGCGCGAGGACGCAACGCGTGCGTGACAGACAGAGATGAAGAGAGCGTTAGCCATGCATCCGGCAATCAAATTCAGCAAATGCGCACCGCATGACCAACAGAGACGGTCGATCGGTTCTATGTTGCCACATGCATTGAAATTGCTGAATATTAAATATCGTTCACAATGACCGATGAGCCTTCTCCGCTTATTGTTCCCGTTTCAGCGAGTTGATCTCATAAAAAATCAATACTAGAGGCCTTGTTTGAAATAAATCAACTACAACCCATCAATTCAGAAAAATACATCTTCTTTAAGATGGTAGAATAATGGAAATTGACATAAAGTCAACCATTGTGAATTGGTCGCAATATCAATTGAATTCATTCTTCCGATGATCTTTGCGCTCTAATTTTGTCTCATTCTCTGTTATAAGACTATCCATTATGGAAAAGTGAATAATTGTTTTTGTTTCACAAAACTCGAACATTCGTCGCACTATTGTATATTTTTCAATAAAGACGACACGGAAATCGAAACCGATCGGAAGATGAAGAGTGAATCATACAGCGATTTATGTTCCAGTGAAATAACCGGATATCATTGAACATATGCTGTTGTCTCTTTCGCTTTTGTTGATGTCCATACAAATTACAAACATTGCACGAGTCCTATCGAAATGGTTTCATTTTTTTTTTTTCTGTTCATTTTATCAACAGCCAGATTTGGTATGAATAACTGTGGCTCAATATAAATATGTTATAATAAAAAATAATAATGTAATAAATATTTGTTTTCAACTGAGACTATGAAAATAAACCATTTTTTTCAATTCAATTCGAAGTGTTGTCATGTATGAATTTTATTAAAACATATTCAAGTCAACATTTTTGTCATTAAAATAATTTGCTGGAAATCACGGTGTGTGGTTTGACAATGTTCGATAACATAACAAATAAAATGTTCAATTATTGACACTGATTACGATGGCGAATCGTCGTATCTTTAAATTTCTTTTCTTCATATTCTTCTGAAATGCGATTTTATTTTGTGATGGAAAACGCGTTGATTAATCTCGATCAAATCACGAATCTCAGCTAAATTTCAATGCATTCATCTCGTTTGGATGGGCTTTTTTCCTATGAGCATACATGGACGAGCCAAAACGAAAAGCTTTCCCGCAAAACTGGCAAACATACGCATCTGTTATGCCAGTATGAATGTAACCATGTTCCTGCGAATTGAAATGTTGTTGTTATGACCGATTTAGGTTGGTTTATAGCAAAAATTATTCATATTCTTACTTTTAGCTTGGTGCGATCACGAAATCCCTTTCCACAAACAATACACTTGAACCGTTCCTTTGAGCCTTCCAAATGAATTTTCTTGTGTTTCGATAGCGCCTTCATGTTTGTGGATATCCGACCACATATATTACAAGTTTTTGGCCCTTCCACGTGAATACTTTTCATGTGTGATCGCAGATTTTCCTTATTTTTATACCTAAAAATAAAAATGTCAAGATGAATACGATCTCAACAAAAAGAAAACAATTGCGGAAAAACGAAATAAGGTATATAAAAACGATACTAACCATTCTTTACAGATGTCACATTGAAGTCTTTCGTGAACCTCATGGTCAGATCGAATGTGGTACTTGTGCATGAAAATAGTGCTTGAAACTTTACCGCACAGATGACACACGACTCCTTGGTCGACTTCATGAACTTTTCGAATGTGTTTCTTCATACCCTTCGCCAGAATCATCTTGCTACAATGTGGACACGGAACTTTGCCATGCCTTTTTCTCGTGTGTGCCTTCAAGTGTTCTGCGGATGCAAAAGTTTCCGAACAATGATAGTTTTCGCATCGATACGAAACTTCGGGATGCTTCTCTTTTACGTGTTTTTTCAATCTGTATATGCTGACAAATGTCTCTTCGCAATCATTGCACCTGAAAAATTCCAAAAAATATTTAGAATGAAATCTTTAAATCTTGCTCCACTGTCACATTCCAAAAACCACTTTCTTACTTCAGATTCTCTAATTTTGGGTGTTTTTTATATTTTCGTTTCTTTAGTGAATTTTTCAATTGTTTCTGTGCAGTGTCGTCGGTCTCTTCTTTAATTGAAGGTAAAGAGAGTTCTGTGCGATCATCTTCATCTGTAAATTGAATGTAAATAACATGAATAAAAAGTTCCCGGAACGAAAAATGCCCAACATTGTTCAACATACCGCTGTTTTCATCGAAATAATTATGATCTGTTGAAATATTGTCAAAGTTGTTGGTTATATCATCGTTCTCAAGGAATTCGATACTCTCACTGATTATCAACTCTTTCGATTCACTCGAGGTAGTATCACACTTGTTTGAATCAATATGCTCACTTCTATAGCAAATGCCCTGAATTTCTTCTATTCGAATGAAAAACTGATGAAACACATCCACTTTACACCAACATTTTCGGCAAACATAACCGAATCTCGGCTCTTCCTAGCGGAAAATAATCAAGTGTTGAAATGTAAAATCGTAGTTCAAATTAAAAAAAGCATTTGCAAAGTAATAGTGCCTTACATTGAAACAAAATGGGAAATGTTTATAGAGTATCGTGGCAATGTACAACTGTTTTGCTTCATCACTTTCGAAATCAATCAACACCTCCCTGGACTCATAGCACAACGAACAAGCCATAATCTTCTGTTTTAGCAATCTCCTATTTATTAACTATTCACCGGTAATTTTGCGTGCATTTCTTAGTTTTGTAAGGGATTTTTTGAATGTTTTACTTTCGAATATGATTCACAAAGTATAAACAAAACATCTTCAGCCGAATTAATTGACGTTAAAGTTGTCAAATTTGATTTGTTTCGAAGCAGGCGCTGCCGTCACATTTTACAACCGTCTCATTTTATAAACATTCAGATTATCAAATGGGCACATTTAATACAATTTCAAACAAAATGGTTGTATCCAAATGTTTCCATTTATTGTACGAAAAATAATAATCGCATTTTTTTAAAACGAATTTAATTTTTCTTCCAAAACAGTAGAAAACACCATTTACTTATGTATATTTAGTGGCGCCATCTAACTGCAGCCATTATCCAGTCGCAAATCGTAAGTGTCAAAACTCCAATGTTCGTCGCATATTTCATATTTCTAGAGAAGGTGCACCAAGTCACACAACTCCAGACAGTCTTACGATTATTTTCACGTAACATTTCATCGAGAGAAAAATGAGCCAAAACGCTTTGAGATCATCCAAGTTCATTGTTCCACGTCTCCTTGGGTAAGTGTACAATGTAGACAAATTTAAATAAATTGAAATCGAAGCGGAAAATTCGTTGTCGAAATTGCGCTTCAAAACGATGAAATTGCTTGTATACTGCCGGGTACAGAACGTCATATATATATATATCTATTTTTAATTTTTGGGCTGTCGTATTGTCGATTATTATTGCCGACTGATTACGTAATTGCCAAAAATGTGTGTTTCCATATTTAGCTAATTATTTTATTTTTTGGAAAACTAAAACCTTCCATTTATTGAGAAAAAAGTGCAAATTAATTTTATCATATGATTTTTTTTTCATCTATGTCGTAGTATAAGAGCCATGTCAGGTCCAGCTGGCGATGGAAAAGCCGGAGCTATTCGCGAAGGTATTCATTCGACTTTTTTTTTATTGTTGTGATTATTTGATTCGTAAATTAATTCAACTAAAATCACCATTGATTTTTCTAACAAGCCGGAGGCGCTTTCGGTAAATTGGAGGCTGCTCGTGAAGAAGAATACTTCTTAAAAAGGGTAAATTGATTTTTTTACTCCCATATGACCAAACAACGAATGAAACTGATTGCGCATTTTTCTTATTGATTGTAGCAACAAGAACAGCTGAAAAAGTTGAGGGCCGATCACATCACCCAAGCCGACTACCATCAAAAACAAATCCAAGAACATGAAGAAGCATTGAAACGTCACAAGGAAGCCCTCACCAAAATCACAAAATAGATCAACCAATACAATATGAAAAATTCCCTTTGCGATTTTACATCGGTCTTGGTTTAACATCCTTTCGTTTCGATTTGTTTTTTTTTTCCAATAGCGAATTTTTCCATCGCATTCGCTGGCAATTCTAGTAAACTTCAGTGTGCAACTTTGCTTAGCATCAAATCACGTTCAAATGGCACAATTTTGTTGATTTATTTGAACCGAGTAAATAAATAAGAAATTATAAAAACAAGATTACAAAGCAGCATTTTGGTAAACTTTCTCAATTTTATTTTGTGTCTCTTTCTCAATAATATAATCTGAACTTAGAACTTTATACATCTGTGGTATCTTAACATCTACTATCGAATAGATTCTATTCATGTGCATTCTGTAGGTTTCTTAACAGTATAATTTTATTGATTTCGGCAATGTCACGATTCAATTTGGCGGTTTCAAGTTGAGCTCGTAAAATATCCATACGCAAAGCGTGCTCCTTGGCCTGCATTTCGATTATCAATTGAATTTCGTCGGTATACTTGTTGCCGAGTGAACTGTTTGTACTGAATGAACTGTTTCGCAGTAAATTCAATACGTCAAACGATGTGGTTATCGGATTGCTGAAGGGAGAAAAGGAATCATCGTTGACACTTGGCTTGATCAGTTTGGGTTTCTTTGTGGCCGCCCGCTCTGTGTTATTATCGTTGATACCCTGTGTTTCAAAGTTATTACCGCCAACATTTGACGATGATTCATCCTTTATTTCCACCTCACACAAATTTTGTGTTGTTTTTTGCCTAGGATTTTTTTTATTTATGACAATAAATGTGCCGCATTTCATTAGTTTGAAATGAAAAAATTGCGTGTAAGATAAAAAAAAAAGTGTACTCATACCAATTGAATAATTCGTCATCATCGTCATCGGAAAGCACCTGAGTTTCATTACCATTGGCATTTGCTTGTGACACATTATCATCGGTTGACAATTGATTGGTGGTTGATCCATCGATGGTTTGTACTGGATCATTTTTGCATGAGTTTCGCTTAGCATTCTGCATGAAGTCCCATATTTCAAATGTAAATGCATTTGGCCGTTTTTTGTCGGCTATCTCTTGACCATATTTCGATACCCGGTTCGTGTAGTCGAGAATTTCTGATCGCGTACAAGCTTCGAAGAAAAAAATCACACACACACACACAGACAAGAGTAAACTTCGAACTAAATTGCAATAATTTCAGTCAATAAAAAGGACAAGTGGATATACTTTACCTTTCATTCGTCTCCATTGCTCTTTGAGCCTATTACAATTTCGTTCATTTCCAAAGAGTTTACAAAATTCTTCATGAACTGATTTCCAAGCTCGATTCTTCAGCGCTGTGAGATCAGCATCCAAGCGCTTATTCTCAATGATATTCATATCACGTTTGCACAATTCCAACAGATATCGTTTCTCCTCAAATGCCCAATTTTGCGTGCGTTCTCGTTTTTTTAAACGACTTGTTGCATTCATCGACCGCGACAACATGATTCAATGCTTTGAATTTTCGTTTTTTTATACTACAAATAGTGTTTCTTTTCTCTCGGTCGCTTCGTTCGAAGCTCACACTCTGGGTATGTGAGCGGCTCCGAACGTTGGCTCGTTAGTCGGTCAGGTGAAAATATAGAATTAATGTGGAAAGCTTTGCTCGTGTTTCTGAAGCTTATTGTGTACGTTTCAAGTTCTGATGTATTGATGTATGCGAGAGCGGTAAGCGAATGCACTTCAAACACATCTTAGCGCCGTGATATTTTGTCGTTATGTATATATACACGTATATCGCATCAGTGTATCCATAGCACAATGCACAGGTAGATTGTGAAATTGTAAATTGTGATGCCACTAAATCTACGACAATATATGTAATTTAGTTTTTCTTCTATGACGATAGCCACAATGAAGATAATTTTTAAGGGTGTTTTTTTTCTTATTATTTGGTTATTTTTTCTCATTGACAATTCTTTTAATGTTTAATGATTTTTTGTTTCAATTGAATATTAAATATTAATAACAACGACGAACAGAAAAAAAAATTAAAAACTGCAATTTTTCGTCTTGTTTTTCACTAAAACGTAAAATGTTGCAAGAAATCCAAATATCAAGTTGTTGTGTAAAAATATTGTTTTAGTTATGAAGATGAAATGGTTTATTCGATTTGTATTCGGCGACGAAGAACAGAAGAAAAATTAACAATTACAAATCAACGCAATCACAAACAGACACACGCACTCGAAAAAAAAAACACAACAAATAATAATGTAATCGCCAGTGGACATTGCCAGATTAGCAGAACGGCAAAACAGAGTCTCGTTTTGGTGCTCTGTATTAACGAACGACAAGACGTTAATTAATTAAATCTCGATATTGTTCGCCTTACGTTCGACGAAGAAACGACGGCGACGACAACGACGACGACGATGAAGAATAAGAAAATGTCCTACATCACTTTGCTGTAAAGTCAATACTATATACATTTTAAAATTACTCATATCGAAAAATATGATTCTAAAACATAATATAAATGGTACGGCTCTGTGGCTCTATGGCTATATTTAATAACGTATATATACCTAGCTAGCAGAGTGAGAGATATAGTACAGGGATTTACATAAGAAATTCCTTGGCCGTTTGTGTGGCATAAATGAATAGCAGCAGAGAGCGTCTCTAGTCAGTGACTAAAAACAATTTGATAGTTTAGCGCAAGTCTTTTACCGTACAAAATATGTATGATGTACCATTAAAAAGCGAAGAACGTCCAAGTTGCCTTTCGCACAACCGTAGCCGTAGCTATATCGTGGCTCCCGTAGCCGATAGCGACAAAGAATCAGAAAGAGAGAGAGAGTGTCGATGTCTTTGGCAATTGAGCGCACTCATGTTGGCTTTGGCTTTCGTTTGTTGACGTTCTACCGTTGTTGGTTCATTTGGATCACCGTCATCAATATTATTGTCTCTCGCTTTTTGTATTTATATCATTTATACACACAGTACATAGGAATTTCTGTTGAATTTGGTAGCATTACCATTTTGTTCTCGCTCTCTGTTCTGAGCAAAAACAGTTTGCCTGCTTGTCTGTCTGTCTGTCTGCTTGTTTGCTGCCTCGCTCATACGCTCACACGCTCTCGCTCGTCCACGCTCTATTCTCTCGCTTCATTTTAACATTCGACACATTCAGCATCCAAAGGCAGAGCGAAGGCGAAGTAGCGGTGGCTGTGGCGGTATTGCTGCTGCTGCTACATAACAAATATAAAGGAAAAATCCGGTCGATATTTATTTAAATGAAATGAAGGAAAAATGGATAAGGAGCATAAAACATAATACGCCAAATCAAAATGTAATTGAATGTGTCAACATTCCATATTGTATACCAAATAGATACGTCTCTCTCGTATCGCATCGCACACAGTACAAGCATAAGTATATTATACAATCAAAAACACCCCATGGGCTCTCATGTCGTACCTTCTTCGATTCGTTTCAAAACGAATCGAATCGAATGGCATGGAATGCATACGATTGATGTGGAAAATATTCCAATGTCTTTCTCGCTCATTTGCTTGCTGTGTGTATCTCCTTACAGCCAACGTCCACCACCACCACCACCATCAGTACCATCGCCATCGCTGCCGCTATCACCACCGCCACCGTCGCATGCAGTTCGGTACGATCCGACAAAGATGTTAAACATAAAAGGTATGGATATTTCTATAGAAATAGAAATCGTTCGAAAGTGCCAAATACGATGGCTATGTAACACATAACACACAATACACCAAATGTGGATGGAAAACGAAGATGTAAAGGATTGGCATTGCTTTTGCAATTACTATATTACATTTATCACTTCTTCGTCGTCATCGCCGTCATTGTCTTCATTGGCGAATCTGGTCAAATCTCTGCACATTCTCTCGCAGGCAAATGGAATGTAATGTGACATAGCTTCGCTAATCTGAAATGAAATTTCCTCCCCTTAGCCCGGTTTGATACTTTGAATTCAAAAATGAAAGTGAAAATATGTAATAAGCAAAGACGTACATTTTCCACCATTGAGTTTTCGATAACTTTATTCTTCGGTTGTATGTATTTACATGATCAAACTTATATTTGTCATCGATTAATTTAGTAGTAGCCGACGCTTGTGATATTTCTCCTGATACCGATGTAGGCAAACAAATGCATAATTAAACCCAGTACGAACAGTCCTACGTAATCGACCCATACATCGCTTGCATTCGTATTATACGACAAGCTCTGCAGTACTTCGGTGCCATTTTTCAGGCAATTTCCATCGTATTTTTGGGGACATTCTATGATGAAATAAATGATTTTCTATTAAATATAAAAAAAATACGTATGCATTAAATTTGATCCAGTTGTATATACCAATTTGTGTAACATTGCTCCAAAACGATATCAACAATGCTTCGTTTGTGTAGAAGAAAGGCGAAAAATAACGAGCATACGGCAATGAATATAGATTCATATAAATACCGGACAAACATAGAAATATCAAATCACACACAGACGCAATTTCCATGATAACTATTTTGAATAGACTAGATATGAATAGACCGTATGCGTTGGATGCAAATGAAGCTATTAAAAGTGTGATGCCAATTTTTAGGAATAACCAAAAGCTCATGAAACCAGCCCAATAATATGTTATTGCAATCCCCGCGAATGATCTTAAAATGGACACCGGAATCACGTTAAACACTTCGGCCACATAATATGCAGAGAAACTGTAGATGTGCTCATTGGTTTCCCTGCGCAAGATTGGCATTAGAGACGGGTACAAATTGATGATGGAATAGCATGTTGTGAAGATTACTTCACAAGCCATTATGAATAGAGCTCCGTCGACATCTTGAATTGACTCTTGTGTACGGCCGGTGGTCTCATGATAAATGGCTGCCATCACAAAAAATGGAATCTGTGTGGTAATGCATTCAGATTTATTTTCACCTCGGAAGAGTTTCGTTTATTCTTAAATTGGAGAAAAGAACACCTACCAAGTACCAAGCGATGTCTATGAAAATTTCACGATAGCTCCGTCGGATGTTTAAAAGAGACCGTTTCATCAGTAGCCACACTTGTTCGATCCAAAATGGACTCCGTCTGTCAGAAATCAGCGATCGTAAGAATTTTACAAGTGATGAAATAAGAATGCAGCCTTACATTTTATAGTCGTTCACATTGAAACGCTCAACATCGGCAACATTTGGTCGTTTGTAGTGGCTTGATCTGCGTAGGATTTCGATTGGATTTTCAAAAAAATTGCGATATTGACCCTCCTCCTGTTGCGTTGTATTTGACAAAACTTTTAAATAAAAATCAGCTGGATTATATGCAGCTGGACAATCAAATCCCAATCTAAAGTATGAAATTGTGGAAAACAGTTTTTTATGCGCATTTCCATACTGATTGATTTGCAATGGTAAACACAAAACTCACTTGGAGAAATGAGTGAATGCCTCGTCCGTGGTGCCGCCAAAAACACATCGTCCAGCATACATAAGAATAATGTGGGAAAAGCATTCGAAAATCTGCGACGTCGGTTGATGTATTGAACAAATAATTGCTTTGGCTGGCATTTGATTTTTTGTTGTTGTTAATTCCATTCCATATCCATTATCAAGTTCATCACTTTCAACTGTTGTCGATGCGGTTGCTGTATCACTGTTTATATTTGATAAATACTTCAGCGCCTCGATAACCTTTCTCGCATTAAAGCTATCTAGTCCCGTGGTAGGCTCATCACAGAAAATTATTGGTGGATTAGTCAGCAACTGTAATGAATGGAAATGTGTTTTTTTCGGAATAAAGTCAAACAAATGAATGAAAAACACAATTGTACTGGCATCTTGTTGCTGATTTAACGAGTCGAACACACTTACATCGGCAGCCAAGTTTAGTTTTTTTCGTTCTCCACCCGATAATGTTGAAATGCGATTGTTGGCAACATGTTGCAGACCCAGTTCGCGCAGCAGAAAATCAATTCTTTGATTTTTGCGAGATCGTGTCCATTTTCGATCCAATTTCAATTCAGCCATGAAATATAGATGTTCGTTGGGCGTTAGCGTGTCAATTGTGATATCAAATTGTGGAACGAAGCAAGAGATTTTTGTCATTGTTTTTCGATCAATTTCATTTCCATTCACCAAAATTTGACCAGTCAATGGACCACGGAATCGCTGCGAAATACCCGCCAGCAGTGTCGTTTTTCCGGCACCACTTTGGCCAAGTATCGCCACAAGTTGGCCACTTTTTAAACTTCCATTCACTTTAATTCAAAGAAATGTTATTGGATCATTTTTTCTATTTTAAATTCGAAATATGTTTTATATCTTCTATACCGTTATCTAAGATGCGTTTTTCTTCTTTGTTGGTGCGACATTTCCAGAAATTAAACTCCCGCTTTTCAATGATTAAATTGAGATTTCTCCATTCCAATATAACGTTTGTGGCCATTTTGCCGCCGATGTTTTTCACTCTATTTTAATTGTGACACCACGGAACGCGCCTGCCCTAAACATCTAGAAACTATGAAAACCTTCAGATGACTACTATTCAGTTGGAATCATCATCAAGATGATTGCTAAACAGTGATGATTATCACCATCACACTCATTTAGATAATTGTCTTGGGCGTAATCATAATGCAATTATCTCTTCAGTTTCTTCGAAACGCGTCTCTCTTATCGTTGTCATTCCTTTTTTTTTCTTTTTGGTGACATTCTTACAAAATCACTACAAGTTTCAAAAGAGAGACAAAATCAAAAAGATTTTTTAATCCATCCTAAAAAAAGATAAACAGTTTAATTGCTAGACATCAGACTGAAAGAAGAGAAGTTTATCTTTTGGAATGATACATTGTCATAGATTAAACAAGATTGCATGCTGATTGAAAACGACTCTGGAAAAGAAAAAAAATGCGTTGGAGTTGTGTTGCTAACCGGCCGAAACGAGTTCCAAAAGTCAATGAATGCCAATTTAAAGTCTTGCATGCTTGCTGTCATAAAAGATTTGGGTTGAGTTTATCCGTCTTTCGTTTTTTTTTCGTTTTGTTTTGCTGCTGTTATACTGTGATCGCACACACACACACCTACTTACAAACTGAGCCGAAAATAAATAAAATACCAGCGTAAACAGTCTGAATGCATTCAACAATGTATGCCATATTGAACGAAGCTCTATGAATGTCACAAGAATGAACTTTGCATTGGCGCAATGAATACCTCAAAATCGGTAGCATATGTAAGCAAGATTATATTTAATGCGTGTCATGTTCGCAACACTCATTTTCGTTCACAGTGACAACGTCAAATGTAGCAATATTATTGATTTATTAATCAATCTAGAGGCAGTGAGTTTTGATTTAGTTGGAGTACAAAAAAGCAATGTAGAAAAACGTTTATTGCACTTATGGTTTCTTATATCAACTTAAAACTGTATTAATAATAGCCAGCGCTCTGTATGAATCGTCGAATACCGATGAAAGCCATTGTATGCATCACCGAACCCAGCATAACAAGTCCCAAAAAATCCCAAAATACATCATTCGTTTGAGTGTTGAACGATATGTTCATCAAAACTTCAGTCCCATTCCGCAAGCAAAGACCCTCAAATCTCTCCGAACAACCTAGAAAATGAAATGTCACATATTTAAATATGTATTTATTTGATGAATGTTCATGTATGAAAATTAGAATTAAAATCAAGCTACTAAATTTTGAATAAAGCGAACAAAAGAACAACATCGATATCTTATTTCTACTTACCAATTTCACTGACATCATTCCAGAAGAAAATGGAAATAGCTTCGTATGCATAGTAGAATAGTGATGAATATTTTAAAATTGGAAAATCGCTTAGGCTGGCATATGCACCCGATACCGCCAAAAAAATGAGATTGAACACCGTTGGCACCTCGAGAATAACCGATCGAAAAATTCCGACCAACATAAGACCGTATGCGTTCGCGGTGAACGCCAAAAATATTAGAGTTAACCACATCTCAAGGAAAAAGATGATTCCTTTATTGAATCCAGCCATATTGTATGTGATAATGAGGCCACATAGTGGTCGAATGGCAAAAAATGGTAAATCGGACAGAACCTCAGCCACATAATACGCTGATAGGCCATATATCCGTTCATTTGTCTCACGGCGTAATAACGGAGTGCTCGCTAAACAGAAATTCAAACATCGGTACATAACGGAAAACATAATTTCGCACACCAACATGAAAAAAATGCCCTGAATATTCTGCACATCCTCTTGTACTGTACCCGTTAAATTCGAATAGAATATGCCAAACGAAACGAATGGAACCTGACATTTCAATGGAAAAATAGAAAAAGCGATTATTTTGGTTCGTTTAAGAAAAGTTTCACTCACCAAATAGCAAATAAGAGCCACCGACATTTTCTTTAAATTTCTTCTTGCATTGATGGCCGTTCGTTGAAGTAAAATCCAAACTTGCTTCACCCATAATGAATTATGACTGCAATGCATTTCAAATTGAAGAAAAAATATATTTCAATTTATGTTTACAGTGTTTTATCGATGAAAATTAACTTACTTGCGACACTGCTTCAGAACAAAACCGTTTCCATTTAAACTTTCGATATTTGATTGATTCGCTTCGGAGGCGACATCAAAATCATTGATTGCATCCGGTTTGGCGCCTATCCGATTGTCCATTTGCGTGAGAGTCTTGATAAAGAAATCCGCTGGATTAAAATTGGCAGGGCAATTAAATCCCATACTGAAAATGAAATGGGATTTTTTTTTCATTTGAGTATAATTGCTTGAAATTTTTGCACTTCATTACTAACTTTACAAAATAATTGAATGCATTCACAGTGTTGCCTTGAAAAATGCAACGACCAGTATGCATCAGTATAATTTCGGAAAAACACTGGAAAATATCCGACGTTGGTTGGTGTATCGAACATATGACGGCTTTTGGCGGCATTTTAATTGGCGATTGTGATTTCAAACTCATTTCATTTGATTGATCGTCCATTGACATTGATGAAGTTTCACTGTGTGATGTGGACAAATACTTCAATGCTTCGATGACTTTTCGTGCACCGAATGAATCTAAGCCCGTTGTGGGTTCATCACAGAAAATGATCGGCGGATTTGTGAGCAACTGCAATGGTAATAAAATAAAATAAATGCGATAACGTAAATCATCCAAATTGTAACATAGATCTAATTGTAACATAGTCTCAAAATAAACCACTTTTCTAAAAAAGTACAAATAAGTCATATATTCATATCGGAAGTTTTTTTCGTGATCTTCTCAAATATGATATAAAAAACAACAGTTACCCTTCAAAGTTTTGCAGAAAATTAGTCTATTTGTTCAATTGTTACAATTTGGACTATGTTACAGTTTGGATGGTTTACCTCCTCCATCTCATTCCACTGTAATTAAATACATAAAGCAATAATAAAAAAAAAATGATTAGATGATGGAAATCGCTCCTATAAAAGTAAAATCTACTTCAAATTTCCTATTAGTTTCAGAGTTTGTCGAGTAAAATGTTGAAAGGGAATTCAAAACAATATATCAGTATCCATATGAAAGCAAATTATATTTAAAAAAACAAACAAACATATTCGCTAACACTAAAAGACTAAAATCAAATCCTTCAAAATTTCAATCAGATATTTTAAATGATCAAAGGGTAACTACTTACATCGGTGGCTAAATTCAGTTTCTTTCGCTCTCCTCCGGACAAAGTTTTAATTTCACTGTTGGCGACACTCTGCAGACCCATTTCTCGCAGTAAAAAATCAACTCGCTGATATTTACGTGAACGCGACCATTTTCGATCCAATTTCAATTCGGCCATAAAATACAAATGCTCATTTGGTGTCAATGAATCAATCGTGATTTCGAACTGTGGAACGAAGCACGAGATCTTCGTCATTGTTGAGCGATCGATTGGTGTGCCATTCAACAAAAGCTGGCCGTCTAGTTTCCCTCGGAACCGATAGGAAATGCCAGCCAGTAGCGTCGTTTTACCCGCGCCACTTTCACCCAAAATAGCAATCAATTGCCCACTTTTCAAACTCCCACTAACTTTATTGGAACAAAAATAGAACAATGAGATGAATGTACACCAGATAAATTATTTTATTTTTATTTTTCCATTTACCATCATTGAGGATTGTTTTTTCTTCAATTTGTCTTCTACATTTCCAAAAACTAAATTCACTCTTCTTTATTTCTAGATTTAAATGCTTCCATTCTAAATTTAAGGAATGTTCCATTTTTTAAGTCTCGTATTCTGAAAAACACTGTAGAAGGTGTTGAACAAACTTCTATCTACGTTATATAAAACGAGTCCAACAAGTGAACAATATGCCGGGATATAATAATATATTCACGGCGTTTGATCGAAGCGTATGAAGATGAAGCGTTGAATAAATTACAGCGAAACCAAATACAAAAATAAAAATATAATCACATACACAGTTGAAAACATTCAATAATCTTCTACACCGTAGATTGCTCGAAAGTCAAATAAATCCAGAACAGATAAAGTCTCGCTCTTTCGCATTCAATATTTTTTTCTTCGCCTAAAATCATTTTTGTAGCTTCACATTGGAATTCAATACGGTGTGCGCACCGCATGCTGCATAGTCGTTGAGCATAGAGGTAATATACGATGAAAAAAAGCCAACAACTCATAGCAAACGTACGGTATGGATATTTGTTGGTGTGCGCTCAACATGTTTGATATTATGTTCATCTATTGTTGTTGCAAAGCGCAATGTTACTACACAAACGCACTTACATACAACCACATTATGGTAGTGATACAAAACATTACACATTTTGGTACACTGACTGATGATATCGTAAACCATCCAAATTGTAACAATTGAACAAATAGACTAATTTTCTGCAAAACTCTGAAGGGTAACTCTTTTTTTTATATCATATTTGAGAAGATCACGAAAAAGACTTCCAATATGAATATATGACTTATTTGTATTTATTCAGAAAAGTGGTTTATTTTAAGACTATGTTACAATTTGGATGGTTTACGATACTTTTTTAAATCTGTACCAGATTTGATGAATTGTTCTCGAGCATATTAATCGATCATGCTGTGGTCACATTAGATCTTTGTTTGATCGAAGAGGCGACGGGAGACAACTAAATTTTTTAAAGAAATTTTTCACAAATTTTCACATTTAATCACATGATTAAGTATGGGAAATTATAAAGGAAGAAAGAACGAGAGAAAGAGAATGTGTCAAATGTGATGATTATTCATTTTTGATTATTATCACTCAATGCTCATTTATTGCATTTCATATCAATTTTTTTATATATTTTTGAATCGAGTTTCAAATAATTTATTCGATTGCCTTACTTCATAGTCTTTAAAATTAATAGCACAAAAGCAGCGAATGCATGTGCAATAGACTGCTTCAAAAAAAAAGTTGTCCCTCATCTGGAATGTCCGGCCAGTTTCGAAAAATATACCTCAAAAAAATAGGTTTGGTGCAAAGATTGCACATGGGTACCATATAAAAAACCATAGCAAGCCCCACATCAAAATTTTCATGACAGCGATTTCGGAAGCCATTTTGGTTCGCAACATTTCGACTAATTCCATTATTCCAACCAAATTTCGACAAAAAGTGTTGATGCGGTTTTGTTTGGCTCGTCAATATCTATAACTTTTACTAAGACATCAGCCCTTGAAAAGGCATTCTGAGCCAGTTACAGTGTAAAATGACCAAAAAAATTGCAATTTTTTGGCATTTTTTACATTTTTTGCTCTACGAGTCACCCAGGCGGTGGACTATTGTTCAGATTTCGACTTGTGTCGTGTAGCCAGAACCTGTACAAACATTTTGGTACTTGTCAGATTGCGATTTGGATGGAATTTGGCGGCAATTGATTCACACATATAAGACAAATTTCAGGCCAAAATGAGCAAATCACGACTACGAGCTTCGATCTGACAAATAAAAGCAAGCGATTTCTACCTTTTCTGCCTTTGAACATTTAGTATGTTTCTTTACGAACATTTTGGGTACTTACATGATCAAATCGAGTGATGTTTTCACATATTTCTGGCCTCATATTCGATTTCAACTCCCAAAAATCGACTTTTGACCAAAAAATCCTTAAGTATAGGATTTTTAGGGATGGTGTCTTGGAGCAATGTTATTTTTTTCTCGAAAATATGGGGAGTCTATCCAGACAACAACTCTCAAAATTGACTTTTTAAGGTACCTCCCCAACAAAATATACGTTTTTCATGGAATTTACTATGAAAATATCAATTTTTGTTCGGAAGGTACCCCAATTTTCCTTTTCCAAGAAGCCTTTTCAAGGGCTGATGTCTTAGTAAAAGTTATAGATATTGACGAGCCAAACAAAACCGCATCAACACTTTTTGTCGAAATTTGGTTGGAATAATGGAATTAGTCGAAATGTTGCGAACCAAAATGGCTTCCGAAATCGCTGTCATGAAAATTTTTATGTGGGGCTTGCTATGGTTTTTTATATGGTACCCATGTGCAATCTTTGCACCAAACCTATTTTTTTGAGGTATATTTTTCGAAACTGGCCGGACATTCCAGATGAGGGACAACTTTTTTTTTTGAAGCAGTCTAATGTGCAATCATACTTTTTCTTCATAGCTTAATTCAACAATAACAGGCGTTAATTATAATCATTAATTGGAGCAATTAAAGTATAATTCATATCCGTATCTATTGGCTAAAAGTTGCATTCATGTTAAATGTCTTTGCGTTGAAAATGTAACGACTAAATAATTAAACGAAGGGGTGGGTTTACAGCCCATATGCTTATGCATGACAATTCCTACGAAGTGTGGTTCTATAAACCCATCATAAAACAGCTGTCAGATTCGTATTAGTTTCAGATAGCGAATAATCAGTGCGAGTAATTGAAAAATTGAAACAAACATTTGAAGCAGAAAAATGTCATCGTGGCGCGATGTTATGAAACTATCGTTTATATCTTTTGTTTACCTATGCTGCCTCAGCATCAGTGCTAATTAAATGCGGGCACTTTATTCAACAATTTATCAACAAATATCGCGGGCTAAGAGAGTAAAGTGGAGAATTTTAAATTCATAAATATAATTTTATCAGTTCTAAGAATTTCGTAAACAAAAAAAAAAAAAATTTGGACAAACATGAGCCGGAACGTGTTGAAGAGTAGCATCCACAGTGCATCGATTAACATAGTATTTCAGGTGAGTTGAACATGGTGAAAAAATAGTTTGCTTAGAGAATATGTGCTGAGAGAATTGAAACCGAGTTGACTTTTGGCATCATTCATTTTTTTGTTTTGGCCCGGTAAATTTCTAATATTAGGCACCCTCAACTAGCAACTTTTCAGTTCCGTTCATCACATGCTCTCACCTCATTTCGTTACTCTCGATGATGATCGCATGCCAAAATAACAACAATAATAACTGTTTCATTCATTTTTAATGCACACGCAATTGCATTCTATTTCTAGATTATGAGCCGATGCATCACGTTTGGAATAAATTCATTTGTTATACGGATTGTCGACCGCGAAGCGCTTGGCATAATGAATGTTCGGCTATTGTTATTAGAAGGATCACTCGCGTTTCTGTCGCGTGAGGCGATTCGGCGAGCAACACTTAGCTCAACCGCAAATCCGCATGAGAAACACATATGGCCGCACATCATAAATCAGCTGTGGCTATCGTGAGCAAATTATTCACATCACTCAAACGAGAAAACATAAACATTTTTACTGATTGTTGCTCATTTCGTTTTCTTTTCTTTTCTTTTTTGCTTTGACGTCAGGTTGCCGATTTATTGCATTTTCTCTGGGCCATGTTTGTATATTTGGTTTAATCAGTCTATCTTCGGATCACCGATAGCTGATGAACTTTATGATCAGTACAAATTCGGGTGCATATGCATCGTCGTCTCGGGTATTATCGAACTGTTGGCTGAGCCACAGGTGTTTGTTGCCCAAGTATTTTGTTTTGTAAAACTTCGTGTTGTGCTCGACACACTGCACATTTTCGTGCGATCAACACTGTTTATTGCACTAGTTCTGCGTGATCCGAACCAGGCGATTTTTGCCTTCAGCATCGCTCAAGTTGGCAGCACAGCCACATTTGCTATTGGTTATTATGTATACTTTATTTATTACATCAATCGATTGAATGAGGTGAAAGGAGACAAAAAACATGCCGCCGACAAAACGGACGATGGGCTAACAACAGATGAAAAGAAACCCGAATCCGACGATTCCATTCCATTTAACAGTATTAAACAAATGTTACCCGGATATTTAGAGAACTCGGTAATAATAGCGAATTTTCTTTTCAATCTAAAATATCAATTTGGTCTGAGTGAATTTTCTCTCCCAAAGGGCACGATATTCAATGAGAATCTGCAGACATTGGTGTTGAGCTTCTTCAAGCAAGGTTTTCTCAAGCAAGTTTTAACCGAAGGTGAGAAATATGTAATGACGATCAGTCCAATTATGACATTCTCTCAGCAAGCCACCTATGACATTGTAAATAATTTGGGAAGTTTGGCGGCACGATTCGTGTTTCGACCAATCGAAGAAAATAGCTATTTCTACTTCACACAAACTCTCTCAAGAGACATTCCTCTGAAGCAACATTCACGAGAAAAAATCGAACAGGCCAGCTCCGTGCTGTACAATCTATTGAAAGTTGTTACATCAATTGGATTGATTGGAATGGTATTTGGGCAAAGTTTTGCGAAAACAGTACTTACTCTCTACGGTGGTTCCCGTTTTGTTGAAGACGATGGCCTCTCTGTGATTCTTCTGCGATGGCATGCTGTAGCTATTATTCTGTTAGCTATCAATGGCATTTGTGAAGCGTATATGTTTGCTGCAATGACAAGCACTGAACTGGACAGGTAAGGGATTATTTGTCAAATAATAGTTGCTACAAGTTGCTATTCATAAACGGCATTTCCCTCCGCCACCCCAATTACGCAATATGAATTACATTTTATTTCGAATTTGCAGATATAATTATCACATGGGATTCTTATCCGTAACATTTCTGTTTTTATCATATCAACTGACGAGCTTCTTCGGTCCGGTGGGTTTCATTCTTGCTAATTGTACTAATATGTTTTTGCGAATAATATTCAGCGGCATATACATTCGGACGCAATACCAATCGGTTGATCTCAAGCCCTTGGATGGTATAATTCCAAACAAACTTTTTGCAATCACTTTGACAGTTTTGGGTATCACATGCATAATTTCAGAGGTAATCAAACGAAATGAAAATATTTTTAATCGGAATTGAAAAAAAAAACTTTTTACTTCTTATCTCTCTTGCAGAATCGTCTATTTCGTCATTCGATATTGGCCCATGTTGTGGTTGGTGCTATTTGCTTTGCTTGTACAGCTGGTGTCTGGGCGTATGAAAATCGAACTTTAATTCGAAGTTACATTTTAAAGCGAGGAAAAAGCTTATGAACTGCATGCAGTGTTAAGTCAAAAAACCACGTACCAAAAAATTGGACTATGCTATTGTACAAAATTCCTTTGAGATTTTCATGCACAAAAAAATAAACAACGAGCAGAGCTTAGTTAATTGCTGTATACAACAATTTATTTTCTGTAAAACAAAAACTGAATGAAACACAGTCAGGTACAGAATATTTGTTTTTAAATGTGTAATAAACATTGTATTCATGAAAAATATGGTTTGATTTTCGTTATTTAAGTAGTAAATAATTTTAACATATGACTAATAAAAGGTAAAAACGTGGCGAAAAATCAGGTATCTGATTGCAGATATTCTGAATGATTTCCCTACAAATATTTGTTTTCTTCATTTTTTTTTTGCATTTGGCTGATAAATATGACAAGGAATGATATTTCTTGTACGACACACACAACATCCGTGAGTGTTGTGTATGTGTGGACGTTTGTTGTTTTTCCTTTTCCACTATTTAGAGTATTAAAACTGAATTCATAGTGCGATATAAGCGATATAAAGCCATAGATTTATATTTATATGTCATTGATTTGGCATCTCGGTTAGAAGCAAAAAAGGACGTTATAAGTGTTTAAGCTACTATTATTTATAATATTATTATTTGTCTCTCCTTCGTAGCGTATTATCACTGCATTTAAAAGCAAATGTGATAAAAGTGTTCCGAACACATTTTCTTTGTTTCGCTTTGAAAGTTTTTTTGTGTGGTTTGATACAGAAAAATATCAATATTTGAATAAACATCATCGGTTTGCAACAAACCAAAACATATTTACACACATTTTTTGATCTCGAATTATCGGTTACTTCTGCTATTTGCTGCTGCTTTTTTTGCTTTTTCATCATCTTGACATGGCAGGAAATTGAACATTCAAGTTTCTTTAAAAATTATTGTTTATTGACAATTTCGCCTTGTTATGTGCCGCATTTTAAATAACATTCACTAATCAACTATTATTTTTAATATTATTATTGTTTTTTGATGCTCTTTATTTTAGTTTTTCCTAAAACCATTTGCTTAAAATAACAAAGACGGATTTTTTTCTATTTCAAATGAATTTCTGGTAAATTGTGAATAAAGTGCCAAATTGTTTTGTGTTTGTTTGCATAAAAACGTATTGGAAGTTTATTAATATAAAAATTAGAATAAACGCAATCAACTACATATCTCTCTGTGTGTCGTACACTTGAAGTTAGTTGGAATTTCAAGTAGATAATATTAATAATGTTATAGTGTTATTTCTTGTGTATTATTTTTCTGTAATTTTTTTTCCTTCTCCTTTCACGTGTTTCGTCTGATCGACACATCTTAAAAATTCTTGAAATAAACGGTTTTCAATTAGATTAGAAACGATATATATATATATTTTTTCAAGCTATAAATAAAACGTCAGCAAGAGCAAAATTTCTTCGGGCGATCCGAACTGCTGCCGTCCAAGTTAAACTTTTCCCCATCAAGTATCTCGCCAGCATTGATAATCTTATCATTTAACAGAATCTGCATGTGTAAAAAGAGAAATGATTTGGTTTTTAATTAGTCCATTTCTATCTTCTTCTTTTTTTTGTTGCAATGGAGAAACGGAAAAGTTTTTTCACGGTTACTCACCTTATTGACTAATGCACGTGCTGCCTCTTCAATGTTAATGTTTTCTTTGGCCGATGTCTCAAACCAGCCGGCAAAACCGTGTTCTTTCACATATTCATCCATTTTGGCCGGAGTATTGACGATACCTTGTTTGGATTGATCACACTATATCATCGAAACAACAATTGGAATAATTTCAATTAAATTTAAAATTGAAGAAAAAAAACGTAATCAAATTCCAATTTGTCTCAATCGCAAACAGTAAAGTAAATTTTTGGGCTTGTGTAGAATCGATCGATAAATTTTTGATTTGAACCAAGTCCAATTGAGAGCGAGAGAGAAAAAAAATCCAATTAAAAGGTTAGTATTACCTTGTTTGCTATTAATATGCATGGAATTGGGCTTCCGTTCGGTAATTGCACTTTTGAATCTAAATCTTGTTTCCATTTGATAACCGCATCAAAGGTTGCACTTCGTGTGACATCAAATACGATGAATGCGCCAACGGCTTCTTTATAATAAACACGCGTCATATTTCCGAAACGCTCTTGACCTACAATAAAATCAAACGAGAGAGCGAGAGTGAGAGGGAGAGAGAGAAACTCATGTGATGAGTATTTAAATTCAAATGCATGTAATTTTTTCCAGTCTTTCCACTTGCATTGCAATTGCAATGGAAACTTTGGTATTAATTTTGTACGATGTAACACCATACACACCTGCAATGTCCCATAGCCTGTCCAATAAAAAAAAAAAGAATTAATCAGAATCACATTCGATATGAAAAGAAATATAGCTATTGGACACTTACTGCAGTCGAATGATTGTGTTTTGGTCCCAATTCAATACTTTCAATGCGAAGTCGACTCCGATGGTGGCTCGATAATTTTGGCTAAAGAACTGGTGCACATAACGTTTGATGAATGATGTTTTGCCTGTTCCGAGCTCGCCGATGACTAGTATCTTGTACAAATGCTCGCGCTTCTCCGGCGACGATGACATATTTCGTCGCTGAAAATTAGCAAAAAAAAAAAAAAACGAACAAACACAGAAAAGAAAAAGAAAGAAAGAAACGAAAACAAACACAACAAATCGATTAATTCCTCCCGTAAATTTCGATTACATTTGCTAAAATACATGCAACAAATAAGTATTTTTTCTCCGTCCCATTTTTCGAATCATTGTATATGTGATTGGCAGAATAACACAAACAAATTCTATCGATCTCTCAAATCAACCGACCGACCACTTGGGACCAATGGATTTTGAAAGTAATGCGTTTTGGATGAATAACTTTGTTCAAAATGGAAATTTGCGTTAATTTCAAAATGGAAATTCAATATTGAATTATTTTCTTGCTGTTCCCTTGTCATACAAACTGTCTAAGGTTAGCTCAATAAAATTTGAGCCCAAGTTTTTTTACGTTCATATCTGCGATTCAAACCGCATGTTCACTTCACGCGAAACCTTTGAAGTGATCCTTAAGTCAGTGTCGATTTGTATAATGAATTAGCGATATTTGTGTATTACTGTCTCCCCATACTATTAGAATCAAATGGTAACAACAGAGGGATAGAAGAAGAAGAGACAGAAAAAAAATAACGACAAGAGGAAAAATAAGACAGCAACACAAAGAAACAATGGCACCAACAAATTTATTCAGTTTCTTAACACACTTTTGCCGGCATTTGCAGTTAAATGTAATATAATAAACACTCAGAACCGAAAATAAACTCAACTAGCGACCAAATGAATATTGTTACAAATCCACGATTTTGTAAGCTTTTTCGCTCTCTCTCTCTCTCTCTACAATGAATTTATTTTAATATATAGAGTGTGTGTACTGTATGCGGTCGCTTGGTTGTTTTTACTTCACTACAGCGAAGCAGTTTTATGGTTTCGAACAAATATGAAATTATGTATTTTCATTGGCGGCAAAAGAGAGAGAGAGAGCGAACGATCGTGAGTGAGAGAGAGTGAGAGAGAGAGAGAGAGAGTTTGTGTCTTTGTATGCGTCGAGACGACTTCATTGTATTTACATACTTTGAAACACGTCCCTTATCAATCGAGAGTCGAGTCGACAACAAACTTTTTAATCAACTTGAACATTGAATCAACACATCACAACGCATACAAAACAAATCAAACAGAAAATGAACGATAAAATAAAAAATACGTTTGTATGTAAAAGGAATGAAACGAATAATTGTCACACCGTTTCGAATCTTCTTTTCTTTATCAACAATTTCATTTACACCGCTATGAAGGGTTTCCTTCGTATTTCTTTTCGCGATAGTTTTAAATTGAATGGATTAGAATTAAATTTTTTTGAATGAAAAAAATAAACAGAAAAATGATGGGGAAAAAAGCAGGAAAACAGGAAACAGAACAACACAAAAATAACACAACAAAACTAGATAAAATTGACAATTGGTTGGATTCGTTCGATTACCCCGTCATCATCCCAAACTAAATCACCGTACGGCGGCATTATGAAATCCGTGATAAATGTGCTGCTCGTTTGCAAATCGTCATCAAATTGTGACGTTAATAGTGAATCCGGTCGATTTTCGGGTAAAATATCGTCGTCTTCAGTGTTAATGGTACTATTCGATGTGGATGGCGATCCAGCAGCCGATTTGTTAGACGATTGCTCAATGTACGCAATACGACGACGACCACGGCTCGTTTGTTGCTGAGATCGCATTTGGTTTAGCTCGTGGTCGTCGATAATGAGCTCGTCTTTATCTTTCACATTCACATTTAGCGCGCTCAATGGTTCGTCGCCGTGCACGTGAGCAAATGAATCACTATTGTGCGTATCTATGTACGAAGACGTTGTTATGATTGATGTGTATGCGGTAGCTGGATCGTTATCAAGTGCTGAATAGGTGTTGTGGTGCAAATTTTGATTAGACGGGAAAATTGGACGGACTTGCTTTCCTACCTCAAATTGTAGTGGTTGTGCCGTTGACGACGATGATGATGATGGCGATTCATTCTCTTCGTTTGGTTGTAATACTTTTGCGCCACTTGATTGGGTCAGTGTATGTAGTAGCTCTTTGTCCTTGTCATCAATAGTGGTGGTGGTGGGTTTTTTATCGTCACTTTTTGATTCTTTTTGTCCGCTTGTTGACGTCTCACTTTGTAACGAGGTAACTTCTTCGATAATTACTTTTGGAATGATCTCAGGCTGTGGTGGTATTGGTTGACTGCCACTTGTGTCACTTGAACTGGTCGATTGATGGGCGAATTTTATGGTTTCGCTAGCCGCAACGCCTGGGTATCGACGTCCTCTGGCCGATTCTGGCACATCCATCGACATGGAATTTCGCTGTTCGGCTTCAATTATTTCCGTTAGCAATGAATCTTTCTCCTGAACTACAACTTTACTAGCGGCTGCTATTTCCTCTGGCTCTTCAACATCGAAACTGGTGATCAACAAAAGTTCGGCGCTTTGCTTTGGAGCAATTGTCTCTTGTCCAACGTTTGCGGCTGAAGCACTCGTATCGACTGATTGTTGCGATTGCATCGTCGATTGTACTTTGATGGTTGCACCGCGTTGTACGACTTTTTTTATGGAAGCAGCCGTTGTTGTTGCACATCGATATGATGGTATTGTCGATGGTGCTTGCGTTGTTGGTACAGGCGGCACGCCGACCGTATTCATAAGTGTTAGATCATGGTTGATATTCAATTTCTTTGGTGGTTGCTGCTGCTGCTGTTGTTGTTGTATTGTCAATGCCTTGCGTTCGAATTTATTCGGTTCGATTTCGGTTGACGGCTGTTGTTTGCGTTGCAACTCTGATGCCGAATCAGCCGTGATACTGCGTTTTTTACCTGATATCGTAATTTGTAGCTTTTCTGTGCTTGTACTTTTCCGACCACCAGTGCCCATTCTACTATTGCCATTTTTCGCTTGAGAAAACCCGCTCCTAATGCTCAAATTACTGCTCGCATTCCAGGCGCGAGTCAAATTACTACTGGCTCCACTATCGACCGAGCTACTGCCACTCGCAATACTACTTCGAATCGTTCGATATTGCGTTTGACCAATTTTAACGCCACCATCTAAATTATCGCTGCTGCTCTCCTGGCGATAATCAATGTTCACCAAATTCATTTCCGAAACACTGTGATGACTAACACTGGCCGTCGTTCCAACACGATTCTGAAGTGCCAATTGAGGTGCATTCGATATGGTTTCTACACTTGTTGCCGTACGCAACGGAATTGACGATTTTTTCACGGTCGATTCCTTTGGCGGCGACTTTTTTGGCGTTAACGAGAATTTTTTCACTAATGCAGCCGTTCGGCCTTTACTTCGAACGGGTTTTGGTGTTGTTAACATCGGAAATGAATTGCTTGTCGATGGCAAATCGTTTGGAGATTTCTTTGACGCATCTTCATTCAAATGTTCACTCATTTTTGTTGTTTTCTTCTTCAAATGCAACAACGTCAACACTTTGTTAAAACGCTTTTTCTTGCTGCTGGTCGACGGCGATTTTGCCACAAACAACGACTCGGATGGTACTGAAATCGTATCGTTCCCCGATTCAATTATCGTTTGTTCACTTGTGGAAGCTGCTTCTGCAGCAGCTAATTGGTCAGACGTAAAGTTGGTGACGATGGAAACGGGTTTTGGATTATAATTATCGTCCGTGCTTTTGTTATTCACAAAATCAATCACAGTTTCATCCGATGAGAAAGATGCACGCGCCACATAAATTCCTTGTGAATTTTTTATGCTTAAAAATTTTTTCATATCGGCTCAGGGCGACCAATTCGTCAATGTAGCATTATTATTACATTGATCGATTGCTCATGGCTCTTATAATTGGTTTTATTTCTTTTAATCAATTACACGGAGAAAAAAAACAACAGCTCAATCGATAAAATGCTTCACTTCAAAATACTCGATCATTATTTAGCAATTTTCCGGAAAAAATTGTAAACAATTTCTAACGAAATTAAACGCGCAATTATCGAATTTGGAACAACACACTCAAGACAAAGAAAAAATAAAGCAACAGAAGAAAAGGAAACACAAAAATTAATTGATTGGTGCTGGTCGAAGCTGCCGTTTCCAACTTGTCAATGCTCTAAACGGATACTAAGTTGTGTGCGAAGCTCAGAAAGCAAAATGCTGTTAAGTGCGCAACGGATCGCGAATACAAACGAAATTCTAAACTCCATAAATTTGATTTGGGTTTTCCTATTTTCTCATGTCTCTCGCTCTCTCTCGCCCTGTCTCTGTATTCAAGAAATAGTGCTAAATGAGGAGCCGCGCACTTTTGTGAATGTGGATGCGATGCGCACATGTGGGTGTCATATGATATATGCACCAGCTATTTGCATATATGTTTGAATTTTCCATCGTGTGTACGGCCGTGGTGTCAGTGCTACGCGCTGTGAAAAAAATTTAGCAAAACAAACACAAAAGGCGCACTTTTGTAATACAATCATGGTAATCATGCTCTGTTTCACTTATCATTTTTCTTTGTGATTTCGATGTTTTTTTGTTCTTCGATGTGTTTGTGTGCGATTAACATATGATGATGAACAAGAAGAAAAACAAACGAAACGCAATAGGATCACACTTCACTTGATTGAGAAGAGAGAAAAAAAGTAAACAAATCTGACCGATGTGACAAAAATTCTGTGGAAGAAGATTCGTAGAATGTATTGTCTTACATTGCACACAATGCTTTCAGCAAACGACGTAGACGGGAAATCAAATAGATAGGTCGGTTCAGTGAGCACAATACAAAATGAAAAACCGCTTCAGAAATGCCAGAAAAATGCTATTTACTCCAGATTTTGTTCGCTTTCTGAATGACTATGTGTGATCGAAGGCGATTTAGCTGTGGGTTTGCAACAATGACAAACAAGCTGAACACTCCTATTGGACAGAGTTCAGGAAGTTAATTTTCTTCGAGTACGAAAATCGGTGCGAATCGGAAGCCATTCAAGCAAATAACTGAAATCAGTGCAAAAAATCAACTGACCCAGTCTCAGGCATCGAACGAAGTAGTAATTCAATTAAACCAAATTCCAAAAAATATGTTGAGGCATTCTCTTTTCAAAAACCACGAGTCACACTGCTTCGCATATAAAGTCACTAGATTAGACGTATGGTGGGAAATAGGAATCCAGTGCCGATGATCACTAGTATGCATTGTTTGTCTCTCTGTTGGAACATATGAAAACCAACAACAACGAAGAATAGAAGAAATTGATAGAACACATATCTTTGGGTACACGTGTGGGGCTTCAGTTCAGTTCAAAGTAGCAAGTTAAGCATATTCTTTCGAGGCGACTACAATATCAATTGCAAAAGAAATAAATACATTCCTGTTGCTTTCGAAATATATTGGGCTTGATTTGCGAGTAAAATGATACTTTTTTAGCCGTCTTTTCATCACATGCAATTGAAATGTTGCATCCAGCATTCGATAATACGGCTGGCTTAAATCACGCTGCAAATTGGTTTACCACAAACAACGCGCACGATCCGCAATGTGTCCGCGCGCGCTCAGCTCAATGATAAGAGATTTTTTTTTCTTGAGAGAGACAGAGAGAGAGAGAGAGTCGTTTTTTTTAATTCTAGAGAGGGTGTCAGATTTGCAGCATTCGCTCATTCCGATTTGGCATGTCTAATGGGCGCCAATTCATTAACACCGCATTTTTTTTACTAAAACTCTCGCAAATCTAATAATGACGAATGATTAAATCATAAGTGGTATTATCATGTTGATGGATCAATTTTGCGTTACATGCTCATCAAGATATATTCGTATGTGTGTGTGTGACTTGTTTCTACTAAGTGATAAGAAACATCAAATTCGAGATAGACAAAACTCGTTTTCATATCAACGATGTGGAAATTGAACTTTTGAGAAGGGTGTACCGAACGATTTCGACACACTTATGCGTATGAGTTTGAAAGAACTGGTTTTACAAGACATGTTATACAGTGAAACGTTCTGAAAATGTGGGATCTATGCGGAAAAATACCCTATGCACCTTCGAATAAATTCCGAAAACTATGCCGTGGTTGAAGCAAATTAAAGAAAAAAGAACTTCAACTATATCGATGGTGGTAAACTGCAGCTCGTACCCAAGAGAAACCAATCAATTTACTCTACGCTTAAAGAATGCCAAGTTTAAGTAGTTCAATTTATTTTACACTGTTTGGACGCCCGCCAAGTTAAAAATGCACTGAAGATTCGGCGTAACTTCGGTGTGAAATAACTTCAGTTCAATACTATGTGTAATACAAATATATGTATTCAACTTAAGTTAAATGACTCCGAAGTTACATCTTTTGTCCAGTATATTTTTAACTGGAATTTGAATTATCATTATGCAACGCCATCTATAGATAGATATGCTAAGTTAAAAATATACCGGACAAAGAGTGTAGCTTCGGAGTAATTTAACTTAAGTTTAATATATATATTTGTATTACACATAGTATTGAACTGAAGTTATTTCACACCGAAGTTACGCCGAATCTTCAGTGCATTTTTAACTTGGCGGGCGTCTAAACAGTGTAAAATAAATTGAATTACTTAAACTTGGCATTCTTTAAGCGTAGAGTAAATTGATTGGTTTCTCTTGGGTAGTAATCGAAGTAAAATACTCATAAATGTGATAATTTATTGAAGGACAAATAATTAAATTTTTTCCTGTTTTGTATTGCAAATCTCATACACACGTGTGGCGCACATTTGTTTCATTGTCAACACTGTGAATCAGCGAATAACAATGAAAACAAGAGAATCATTGAATGGCTTGCGAAAAAAGTAGAGAACTAAATGGGAGAACCTATAAATTGTGATCGTGGTAACAGACAGCAAACAATTTAAATTTGGAACAAACTAGACTATAAAGTCAAACTCATGGAAAATGTTGCTGATCTAATTTGAAATTAGTTTAAGCTGTTTTTTACATCTCATTTTATAAAACAAAGACATTTTTACTATGGTAACTAATTCTTGTCCGACGTTTGTTTCGCAATCTGTACAACTCTTGGGTCTCCAACGTATAGAGATGTCCATGAGAACAAGAAAATTTGTGTTGCTGGCGTTATTCTACACGCACCAAATTAAACAAATAAATCCTCTTGACTTTTCACATTATCTTGAGTCTTGTGACAACCCAATAAACTAGATCATAGTTTCAGTGCGTTCGGACGTCATTTATTGCTACCAATAAATATCGAATTGTGTTCGATACGGGAACTACTGATTCATTTGTTTGCGACACTTATCGATTAAATCAATAGTTTTATTGTCGATTCGAAATTTGATTACAATGAAATCAATCCACTTTGAATCAACCCCTTTGAGTATAATCGCCCGATGACGCACTGGACGGTTCTGTCGCTGTTTGACTGATATGGTTTCATTCAGGAGAATAAGTTTTTTTTTAGTCATATCACTTTTCCTCTCGTTGCCGATTTTGAATGAAAGCTTATTTAATGAAAAAGAAAACTGATGTTGCGTCTGTCCATTTCTCATCATATGATCTTCCGCAAAATTCGATCATCTGAAGCACAAGCTAAAGCGCAACTTTTATCAGTTTGTCGTCCGTCGACATATACTTCAATGTTACTTCATTTTACGCTTGTCAGTTTAACTCGCAGCAAACCCGCAATCAAAAAGGTCAATCCTGGCGACAACCAAATGCAAAAAAAAAAGAAAATAATAAAACTGTAAACATGACCCTCGGAATGTGAAGAAAGAAAGTGAGAGCGAAAAAAAACATCGGCGAATGAAAGTGAAATTCGATGACAGTATTGCGTTCATGACGAGAGTAAAACAAATCACACTGATAAAATTTAGAATGAACGCTCGCCACAGTCAACATGCCGATTTATGGTTCGTGAAGACGACATTTCTAGTCAATGTGTCAACCACCTCCAGCTACGATTTTGAAGTGCTTTTATCATTCATCTTGATCATAAAACGCATTGCGCCGTTCTAACAAAAGGTGAGCAACGGTAACATTTTCGGTAACTCTAACTTTGTATTCATGTGGCTCTATTCTCATAGGGCTCTTTGTTGAAGACCATTCTTTTTTAGCAAATTAAACGGTAATCTTATTAATACCGCATATATTAAAGGCCCAGCAAATGCACCGAAATTCTTTTGGATTATTTTGGCTAATCGCTCGATTCTAATAAGATTGAGTACTGTATTGGCCATTTGCTGCGTTTTTAGCCTTCAAAGTGGGTTGTATTTTAAATTAATTAATTTCGTGCTAATTGATCGATTCGCGGAATATATGTACAACAAAATGCGCTTACCTCGATGAATAACGTTGATAATAAGTCTGGAAAATTGTAGCGTCTGTCGATAGATAAGTATCCGATACGGTTTGTGTAGCTCCACTCAAATTATTTAATTAAAATCTGTTGCGATGGCGGTTGTTTTTTCTGCTTTTTTATTTATTGCAACACACAAATGATGAAAATGATTTGAAAAAAGTGTCTTCCTCCAATTCGAATGTGAGTGTGGTCGTTTAACCAAAATGAAAATCACAAACAACGGATACGATTCCAATCACTATATCTAAAACATCACATAATAATTTTACATATCGCATTCACTATATATCGACTCGTATAAACATATATAACTGATGAATGGTGATAAGTGTTGTGTGTGACTCGCGATCAGGAAATCGAAGCAAACCAGGTGAATTTGCTAGAAAATTAAATGTACGGAGAAAGAAAAAAGAAAAAAATATAAATATAAAATGTGAGTTTAAGAAAACGATTGCGTTAAATTATGAATACTGGTCACATCCATTACATACAAACACACACATACGAGTTGACCAACGCGTAACCACAGACACACCTTTGGATGTCGTTGTTTTGATAAAAACACATCGAACGAAAGTGAAAATAGCGAGGCAAAAACTTTCTTTGCCACTGGCGCTTGCCACTAACTAAATATAATTTATATAATTCTGCGGTGCGTCACGAAGAAATCTAAAATATTTGTTTGTTTGCAGTCGTAGCGTTCTTATCGCGAGGCGCGCTCTCTCTCTCTCTCACTCACTGTCTTTCTCTCTCTCTCTCTCTCTCTCTTCATCTCTCATTCTCTCACCAATTCCTGGCCGTACTCGAAATCGTACACAGAAAGTGTGTGAAGTAGAAGCAAAAGAAGTACATGGGAAAAACGGCCATTCATTCACACAAACAAAAGCGAACACACAAAATAGATTACGATTATTTTTACGATTGAGCATTTAATTAAAAGCGTTTAACGATTTTGATACGAATTTTTCATGCGTACTACAATAATTATGTATAGTTAAGACGAATGACACTAAATCGAAAAAGGTTGAATGGCTAGAAGTTATTGAAATGAATAAGTTGCATTCGACATCAATTTAATAACCATTAAATCAATGAATTAAAAGATAATCGCACGACTGTCGGTTTAAGAACAACACCTCTAACAAGTCTATCAGTGTATCACTTAAGCGAATGTCACATTTGATTCACTACGTGTTTTTTTAATGGAGAATCCAACCGAAAAAAGAGCTCGATTTGAGTCAAAGTATTTGACCAATTGATTGATAAAATTCCGAAAGTAAAAAACAGTGTCGATCAAATTAACAAATGGGCACAAGTAGTCTGTCTGACATCGATGACTATTTTTTGTGAAGGAAGTTTTAGAATATTTGTTTGAAAACAGAGCAGAAAATACAATTGACGCATAGATTATCAACGTCATTCACACTGAAGGATCAAAGAAAGCATCGTACTTAGAGCTACTGAAGACCGTCTAACTGAACGCACAATCAATTTGAACTGTTGCGAGTGTGGCTATTTCCCAAAACTATAACCAAAACAAAAAAAAATATAATATTGCTCCGTTCGTTCGTTCATTCGTTCGTTTGTTCGTTCTTGCTCTCTCGACTCGTTGTATGTACTTCAGTTACGACGGGTGATGCGGTTTTTTTTGGTCGCTTTCTGCACATATATATACGTATTTGACTACTGGAAGTATACTGTCACATTTGTTTTCGAAAAAAGCGTTGAAACAGTTACACATAGTCGGAACATCATCATTTTGTGTTGCGGTCTCTATTGCACGAACTTGTTCTCGCTAACAAACACATGCTACTCAGTACTCAACAGCGAGAGTGAATACGGAGTGGCAGAGAATTCAATGTTCAATATTGCTTTGGTTTTATCATAGAAACACACTGGGAGAAAAGCCGTTAGTTCTCTGTTTTGCACGCGCTCATGACAAACATACACTAGCTAGCGCACACGCGCACGCACCTATTCATCCATACAGAAATATCAATTTAATTGTTCAACAATTTGTTATTATAATAGATGCAAATTTGTATCGTATTTGGTTGGATGTTTTGTGTGCGGTTGCGCTCAGACAGCAGCATTCGCATTGGATTACAGATTGTCATTGAAATGCAATTCAATCCGTTCTACTCAATAAAAATGGAATAAATACAAAAAAATGCGCTTTCAATTCTACAATAGATCAGATTGATTTCTTAGACAGCATCAATTAATCCTGTAGTTCTCTCGATCGGAGAAACTGTTCGGCTGCTCATGTTTTCTCGCACATGTTTACCTTCGCTCATGATTCGATTATGGTAGTATAAGTATGGGTAGGTAAGGTATATGGCTTACGGTGAAAAAATGAACAAATAACGTTGTCGTTTCTGTTGATACATCATACTTCTTAGCCGCCGTTCAACATTTGTATTATCAATTTTAATTTTATCACGTTTACGATAAGAACACGTACGTACACAAACTCAACTACAAAAAAAGCGAATCAAATGTAACAAATTGTTTTTCTGCCTGAACCGTATTTATCTCACACTTTTTTTCTTTCTCTTTGTTCCCCTTTAAATTCACAAATCAACGATTCCAGTCTAATCAAAGTGCATCTTTTCGAAAGTGATTCGACAAGAGCGAGAAAGAAGATAACGAAATTAGAAAATATGCATTTGACTCGGGCGGATGGTTCATGATACTGTAAACAAATGACTCACAAACTCACTTTTTTTTACTTCGTCTCTATTGATATGTACTGTACCTGTCAAAATATGCGCACAAACAGCTTGCGAGAGGGAATTTCAAACGATATTCAGCACACAGATTGACTGTGTGGTGTTACATTGCAATGATTTGTCATGCAAACCGTTGTGCGATATTGTCATCTCGGCATTGCAACCCCTTCAGGCGATTGTAAACAACATTACATCGCATGCGCAACACTCGCAAAACCAAACTAAAAATTATCATGTTTTATCTTGCGTTTACTTATTCAAAAAAAAAAAACAAGAATCTTTGTTTCATTTCTTCTATGGGCTGTTTATTCAATTTGAACTGGATTCAACTAGATGAAGATTATTCCTATGCCTTTTGTGTTCTAATTTCGTGGTCAGCTGATTTCATTTACAAATCAGCTTTTCCTCAAGTTCCGAAGAATATGCACGACAAAAGTTGTACTTAATACAAAAGTAGCGACCACAATGCCATCTACCATCAATAGAACCAAATTGGCCATGAAATGTCACAGTTGCAAAGCAATTTCAAGCTAAAAAGTGTTTATTTTTTGGAATGTCGACATAAACGACTAAATATGCCACAAAAAAACCGAACTAATTAAACTGGAAATTAAATCAGATCCATACATGAAAAAAAAGAAATAAATTTCGCTTCGGAAAGAAGAAACATTGCCACAAACCGTTGCAATTATTGAAAACAATGGTAAGATTATTGGAATTTTCTAAAACAAATAGAATTGTCATTCATGTTATTTGAATTTGCAGAGACATAGCATTGTGTATGAACGTTTGTGTTTTTCGGTTGAATGGTTCCAAGTAGAAGCGGTTCTAGTGCGGCATTTCATTCTCAAATATTTTCGCTACTGTTTCACAGAAATGATGTGAGTCAGATGAGACTCTTCATGTAGGGCCAAATTACCATTTTCAGACGTTAAAAAAATGTGTGTATTTTTGTCACTGCCGTTTTGGAAAATGTTCGCGTCATACATCTAGTAGAAAACAACAACAATACATGCTTTCCATCCGTACACATATATGCTTGTGGCTAATGTTCCGCAATCTCATTGCATCGTTGACGATTTCATCATTTTGCTCGAGACTCTTTTCAAATGTATGAATTTGGTAACGTAAAATGACATGGCTGTCGTGTAAACGCGGCCCAAACAATGTAAATGACACTGACAACGTTTGACACTTCAGCGAGTGTTATATCAAAACAAAAGCGGAATGAATAATCGTGAAAAATCGACGTTTTTCTGAAATTCAATCACATTTTTCACGTGAGTATCATTTGCCATTTCTTCGATTTTCCAATTTTCATTTGAGAAAGAAAGAGTGTCAACATCGATTTATCAAAATAAATCATGATTTCAGTTATTAACCACATTTCTTACTCTCCACTGTTGTTACAGAGTGTTTTGCACCTTGGCTCGATCAGAATGGGTGGCTGGATGTTGGAAATTGCCAAAATGGGGTTGTATTTAACATTTCCAGTGGCTGCATTTCACATATTCAATTCGCCCGAGTATTTCGAAAAGTATGTTATTGAGAAGAAACGAGAAATGTATCCGCACGAAGATGAATTGTATCGCGAAGAAATTGGCCAACTATTTCGGGACATGAACAGCGGCAACTTGGAGAATAAATTGAAGCAATTCAGTAAAATGGAACAGCAACGGATCAATCGAACAGAAGCCGATAATCTAGCAACAGCTACGAACTGAACGATTTTAGCGAAATAATTTTATGTAGATAAAAAAATGAGAAGAATATGTTCAATTTGTCATTGCGAATAAATTCGATGCTTCGAAAAGTTCTTTCGAAATATTGAAATTGACAAAAATATTGTTCTTTCATTACAGAGATGGATTTAAAATGAATAAAAAATAAATTAATTGGAATTAGATCAATTTATGCCAAATTACAGCGCTTATTGGTTCGAAATGCTCAAGTAACCTGAAATATCGTACCGATAATATTTACCATTGCATTGTGACAGTTGACACTACTGCTGTCATGTGAATACACCTTTACCTCGGTGGGTCTCAGTTCAAGTTTGAAGTTTCGTATGCAACATCACAGTTGGAATTAACGGTCATATTTTCTAATTTCGTTATCTTCTTTCTCGCTCTTGTCGAATCACTTTCGAAAAGATGCACTTTGATTAGACTGGAATCGTTGATTTGTGAATTTAAAGGGGAACAAAGAGAAAGAAAAAAAGTGTGAGATAAATACGGTTCAGGCAGAAAAACAATTTGTTACATTTGATTCGCTTTTTCTTGTGGTTGAGTTCAATTACGTACGTGTTCGTATCGTGAACGTGATAAAATTAAAATTGATAACACAAATGTTGAACGGCGGCTAAGAACTATGATGTATTAACAGAAACGACGAGTTATTTGTTCATTTTTTCACCGTAAGCCATATACCTTACCTACCCATACTTATACTACCATAATCGAATCATGAACGAAGGTAAACATGCGCGAGAAAACATGAGCAGCCGAACAGTTTCTCCGATCGAGAGAACTATAAGATTGATTGATGCTGTCGGAGAAGTCAATCTGATCTATTGTAGAATTGAAAGCGCATTTTTTTGTATTTATTCCATTTTTATTGAGTAGAACGGATTGAATTGCATTTCAATGACAATCTGTAATCCAATGCGAATGATGCTGTCTGAGCGCAACCGCACACAAAACATCCAACCAAATACGATACAAATTTGCATCTATTATAATAACAAATTGTTGAACAATTAAATTGATATTTCGGTATGGATGAATAGGTGCGTGCGCGTGTGCGCTAGCTAGTGTATGTTTGTCATGAGCGCGTGCAAAACAGAGAACTAACGGACACACTGGCTATGATAAAACCAAAGCAATATTGAACATTGAATTCTCTGCCACTCCGTATTCACTGTTGAGTACTGAGTGTCATGTGCTTGTGAGCGAAAACAAGTTCGTGCAATAAAGACGCAACACAAATGATGGTGCTTTTTTCAACGCTTTTTTCGAAAAAAAAAGTGACAGTATACTTCCAGTAGTCAAATACGTATATATATGTGCAGAAAGCGACCGAAAAAAAACCGCATCACCCGTCGTAACTGAAGCACATACATCGAGTCGAGAGAGCAAGAACTAACAAACGAACGAATGGAGCAATATTATACTTTTTTTTTGTTTTGGTTATAGTTTTGGGCAATAGCCACAGTTCAAATTGATTGTGCGTTCAGTTAGACGGTCTTCAGTAGTGTATTTTTTGCTCTATTTTCAAACAAATATTCTAATACATTCTACACAAAAAATAGTCATCGATGTCAGACAGACTACTTGTGTCCATTTGTTTATTTGATCGACACTTTCGGAATCTTTTTTATATTTTTTCTTTTTTCTTTCTCTCCACAGCAAATTCACCTGGTTTGCTTCGATTTCCTGATCGCAAGTCACACACAACATTTATGACCATTCATCGGATACCTATCTATCGACAGACTAACCAAACAACGTTATTAAGCGCATTTTGTTGTACATTTCTTCCCCGAATCGATCAATTAGCACGAAATTAATTAATCAAATCCTAGAATCGCCGATAGAACCCACATTGAAGGCTACACAAAAAACGCAGCAGATGGCCAATCTAATTAGAATCGAGCGATTAGCCAAAATAATCGAAAAGAATTTCGGTGCATTTGCTGGGCCTTTAATGTGTGCGGTATTAATAAGATTACCGTTTAATTCGCTAAAAAAAGAAAAGTGGATTGATTTCATTGTAACCAAATTTCGAGTCG